GGTAGCATTGGGACTGAGGCCATAGACCCCACTGAGCAGGGTCTTGCCATCCACTGGGAGGCCGTGAGGAATCCAGGACACAGGGAGCAGCTGACGGCAGAATGCTGTGGAAAGAGGGTGAACTGAAACCCTCCGGAGGGCAGTCCAGGGCCTTCCCTCCTGCAGGGGAGACCTGCTTCTGGGAGAAGCTTGCAGGGGGTTCTGTGAGGAGAATAAGAAGGCAGGTGACTGGTTCCCTGGCAATTCCGGGCCACCGTGGGTGACAGAACTCCTGCGATTAGAAAAAGGTGCTTCCACCAGGTACACAGAGACTCCCTACGGGTTTATGGCAGACTGGGTGACTTACCGCAGAGCTTGCCTGGGCGGCCATTCCTTGCTTAAGGGCTGTGCTTGTCCCCTAGACTGTACAAACCTCGAGGACTTGGGCGCTCCTCTGTGGTTTCTGATTCTGTGCCCCACCTGGGTCATTTGTCACATGTGCACAGGCGGTACGGGGGCTTCAGAATGTTTGTGGACGAGCGGAGATGATTTTCTACTCATCTCGTGAAGCCCCCTTGGGCCACAGGAGTGAGGCTGTTAGGTGGGGGGGCTACGGTTTGCAGCAGTTTCCCTGCCCCACCCCTTCAGGGTGGTCCTCACTGCTGCTCAGCAGGCCTGTCTAGAGAACCCCGGTGTTGGAATTCTCAAGGAAGTTTCTTGAGTTTTACATGGTGGGGTGCTCTTTTCTGCAGAGTGGGAGCTGCTGATAAGTCTGAGAGTTTGGGGTGGGGCTTCCCCTCTGCTGCCCACAGTTCTGACAGAGCTGCAAGACCACCGTGCCCATGCACGCCACTGGGTCCGTGGTGTCTTCTACCGATGCGCCCACAGACTGCCTTACCTTCTGCGGCCCGAGTCTAAGGAAAGCTGTGAGGTTGTCTTTGTGTCTGTCCTGTGAGACGCCTTGCGTGGCTGCTTGGTGAAAACACGCGTGTCCGGCGCCTCACTGCATCCCAGGTGGCTGCATTTTTCTGGACAATGTCCTTTTTTGTTTCCTTTCCCCCATGTCTGTGAGGTGTGCTCAGAGCCGCTCTGTTCCTCAGGGTTTGGGGAAACTTGTGCCTGACTCCTCTTCCCTCTGCTGTTGTCCCCTTAGTCTGATCCCGACCTCCCGGCGGAAGTCCAGACTCCGTCCTCAACCGAGCTGGGGCGGTACCCCGGCCCCCCCTTCCTGGCCCCGCAGTACGTCCCGCCCCGGCCCTCTATCGAGGAGGCCCGTCAGACCATGCATTCCCTCCTGGATGACGCTTTTGCCCTCGTGGCCCCCAGCAGCCAGCCGGCCAGTGCTGTGGGCCCCGGCCCTGCGCCCCCCGCTGGGCTGCCCACCAACAGCACCCCTTCCCGGGAAGAGAGGAGAGCCGCCCAGTGGGGGTCCTTCTACAGCCCGGCCCAGACGACCAGCAACGCGTGCAGCGTGAGTCCTCCCCGGGCAAGGCTGAGGGTGGGGTGGGGGTGGGGGTGTTGCTGAGTGAAGCTGCACCAGGGCGCATGTGATAAGAACAAAGGCTTGATGAAGTGCTAGTTTATAGGGTCTTCTTCTAAGTGGATTCCTGGAAGCCCTGGCGGTGCAAACAGCTAAGTCCCTCAGCCGCTGCGAGCAAAGGTGGGAGGTTCAAGTCTGCCCCAAGGAGCCTCCAAAGAAAGTCCTGGCAGCCTAATTCTCAACCTTGTGGAGCACGGTTCACCATGATACATGGAGCCTCTGTGAGTTCAGGTGTCACTGATGACACCCAGAAAAACAAGTGCACTCTTTAAACACACCTTGTGTTGTGAATTGCTTGAAGGTGTACAGAACAGATGAGTTGACCGTTGAGCAATTCGTCCACCTTCTGTTGCATGTCGTCGAGTGCTTGCCCACCTCCTCTCTCCTCTGTGTTTCCCTTCCTCCTCCTTTCCTGACCTTTCTGAACTCTGTCCTTGGGTGAATGCTGCCCTTTGGATCTTAAGGGGTCAATGATTCTAAGGTATGTGTTACCTCCCCAGTGTTATCTTGCCTCTTAACCCCAAACCAAACCAAACGCGTTGCCCGTCAAATGGATTCTGGCGCAGCATGACCCTATTGTCTGGCTGAAAATCGAGGCCTGGGGTGAGTCATTTCCAGACCTGAAGGACCACAGGCTCGGGATCCCAGCAGTCTCTGTGTGACCCGCAAGCCTGGGCAAAAAGTGACTTCTTAGTGCGGGAAGCAGCCCTTTTGTGCAACTCTAGTCTTTTCTTTGAGGAAGAACTAGGGGCTCGGGTGGCTCAGGGTGAGCACCTTGGAGGAACCGCTGAACCACACCGCACTGATGTCCCAAGGACTGTGCGGCACAGGCTGTGTCCACGGCGGTCAGCACCCCAGATTGCTGGCCACCTGAGAGTTGGACGGATCCCCCGGGACCACACCGGGCAGGGACCGCCCTTTCCGAAGACCACATTGCCATCCTGTGAAGGGGACGTCTTAGCATTTCATCTGCCGTCACCACCCTTTTCTTCTTTCTTTCCACGGGCCATTCTCGCCCATCAGATGCACCTTCTTGAGACGTGAGAAGAAGAGAAAACGTAAGAAGCACAAGTACTGTTTTCTCCTAATTCCAGATTAAATTTCTCTAAACTGCCCCTCCTTCCTGCCCCCCTCTGAACTCCTGGCAACGAACTCGCTCTGCTTTGGCTTTACCCAGGACAGCAGAATGCTCCTTCAGGCAGGGTGGCGAGACTTGGTCTCACCGTTCTTTGGACATATTGTCAGGAGAAGCGAGTCTGAGTCCCTGGAGAAGGACATCGTGCCCGGTAAAATGGAGGGGCAGCTAAAAAGAGGAAGGCTCTCAAGATGAGTTGGCACCGTGGCTGCGACAGCGGGCTCAGGCGTAGGCTCAATTCTGAGGGTGGTGCCAGACTGGGCAGTGCTTTGCTCTGTTGTAGATAAGGTCGCTCTGGGTTGGAACCCACTTCGTGGCACCTAACAACACCACCACCAAGCATTTGGCGGGAGCCATGGAGAAATGGGCCGAAGAGCCATCCGGCAGTAAGTTGACGTCACCACAGTGCTTCATCTCTAGAGAAGGTGCAGGCTTTGCTCGGACTGCGGTGCAGTGGGGTGCCTGCTGCTGCAGCTGCTGCTGTTCCTTGCATTTGGGGACTGGCTGGGCCATATGTTTTGCTTCGGAAAGAGCCTTCGGCGATGAATGAGCCCTCCTGAGGCTCCGCCTCCTCGCTGTGCTGACGGCCCAGCCACCGGATCAGGAGCCGTGGACAGATGTGTCACTGTTGCAGTCACTGGTTGACTACAACACTGTTCTCGGGTGTCGAAGAGGGTTCTGTGAGAAGGTGGGAAAACCCAGCCCCTGAACAAGGAGCTCTGGTGACATAGTGGTCAGGCGCTGACGGCTCACCAGAATCTGGTCAGCGGTGTGACCCCACCCAGCAGCCCCATGGAAGAAAGACGTGGCGAATCTCTGAGTGAGGATGCCAGCCTGGGGAACCCGTGAGCCATTTTGCTCTGTCCTAGAGGGCTGCTATGAGTTTGAAGCCAGCTGACACACACGACCACGGCCCTCTTACTTAGCCTCACGCTCAAATCGGACTGAGGTTTCCAGGAGCACCACGTTCTAGTGGTTCACCTGTGGGCAAGCGGCCTTGTGAGGCAGCCTTTGTGCGTGCCGTGCCTTTGGTGTGATGGGCACGGTCACATCTTTGCCTGTGGAAGAGCAGCACCCTCATTTCTTTCTGGCCCTTTCTGCAGCGATCTCACCTGCTTGAGAGCTGATTGCAAAGCTAACTGCTTGTGGCTGGGAGGAACCTGTCACCCTGATCTGCCTCCTCTGAGGACAGGAACGCAGGTGCCCTTGCTACCATGTGAGCTGCTGTTCAGCATTTGTTGACACGCATGTTCTCCTTGGCCTGCTCACGGATGTCCGTGAGTCGGGCACTTCCTGGAGGAGAGGCCACCTCTGTGGGGCAGGCTGCTCAGGAGTGGGTATGCTCAGGAGTAGAACTTCCTGTCTGGCAGCTTCCCTGCAGGCCGACTTCGAGGCCCCAGCAGCCACCTGGTTTGCCCTTCGCTCTCTGCTGCCCCGAGTTCTGGATTGACTGGGAAGACGGGTGCCCTAAGAAGGGCTTTTCCTGGGTGTAGCTGACCCAGTCCTTACAGTTGCATTCTGCCCCGAAGCTTTCGTAACGGTGACCCGTTGAAAGCAAGTGCCTGCTTTTCTCTTTGTGATTCTTCTTGTCTTCTCCCTGGGTCACCAAGGAACCGGCGTGGGGGCCAGCGCTGAGCTACCCCGGCTTCCACAGGGAGACAGGAAATCCAGCCCCACACCAGCCCAAGGTCTGCTGCACAAGGCAGAGGTCAGGCATGCCTCCACCCTCCATCCTTCCTTGACGTTCTTCTGACACCAGCTATTCTCCCACGGCACTCCACTTCTCTGCTGGGCTCCACAGGGTGCTGTAATGGCCACACAACTCAGACTGTACGCACAATTACGGGGTCTGTTAGGGTGGTTGACGGGTTACCATAAGTCAGGGTCGATAAATGGTAAGGATGCACTCTGGTCCACAGCAGCACCTCTTCTCAGGCAGCAGCTAGGCCTCTCTCTGGCTCTCAGCTTCTTGGTCATGCAGTCCCTTGTCCTCTGCCTTTGTGGGCCAGGCAGCCACCCTGCTGTTCTGTCTTAGCACTGCCTGGTCTCCGCAGTGTGGCTCCTGGGCTCTGCCTCATGGTCTCTGTGCCGCGGCCTCTGCTCTGCTGCCTCAGACGGGGACCTCACAGATTTTCAGCTGGTGATGGACCCGGAATCCTCTCTGTTTCTGATTCTGGCATGGTTCTCTTATACTCAGAGGAATGGCAAAGCTGACCAGTCCCCTCCTCAGAGCCTTTTACACCTTGTTTGCACAGTCCCATCCAACTAAACCAGCATAAAGAAGGTCAGGATCCTCACGACTGGACCCGTAGGTAACAAACATCATGACAAATGGAGGGAAGGTTGACTTTGTTAAGGATTTTGTCTTGCTTGGATCCAAAATCAATGGTGGAAGCAGCAGTTTAAGAAATCAAAGGGTGCATTGCATTAGGTGTACCTGCTGTACAGGACCTCTTTAGAAGATTGAAAAGCAAGGATGTTACTTGGAGGATTAAGGTGCACCTGACCAAGCCATGGTATTCTCCACCACCTCACATGCACGTGAAAATAAGGAAGACCACACAAGAATTGATGTATCTGAATTGTGCTGGAGAAGAACATGGAGGCTACCGTGGAATGCCAGAAGGACAAACAGGTCTGTCTTGGAAGAAGTTTTGCCAGAGCGCTTCTTCGAGGCAAGGATGGCAAGACTTTGTCTTACATACTTTGGACCTGTTGTCAGGAGAGACCAGTCCCTAGAGGAGGACATTGTGCATCGTAAAGTGGAAGGGCAGCAAAAGAGAGGAAACCCCTCGAGGAAATGGATGGACACGGTGGCTGCAACCGTGGGCTCAAGCACAGGGACACTTGTGACAATGGGGCAGGGCTGGACATTGTTCCTTTCTGTTGTACCTAGGGTCACAATGTGTCCGAACCAAGTCTCTGGCATCTAACAACAACAACAACAACAGCAGCAGCACCCAACTGATTAGTGTAGTTGGAGTCACAGAGAAATGGGAAAATGATCCCTCGGTAAATAGTTGCACTTCACGACAGTGCTTAATCTGTAGAAAAGGAGTAACTCAAAAAGAGGTGGTCAGCTAGTTCTCCATGTTCTGCTTTAGGTGATGCTTTACTCAAACACAGTCACAAAACCAAACTCGTCCTCAAGTTAGCTCAGACTCGCGGTGACCCCTGCGTCTGAGAGTGGAATCGTATCCCATCTGGTGGTTTGTTGGCTGTAATTTTTTGAACTAGATCACCAGACCTTTCTTGTGTGGTGCCTCTGAGGCAGATCCAAACGGCTGACCTTCTGCGTGGCCACAGACCCAACTTTTCCTCCTCTCAGTGACTCATGTCCCTTACTAAACACACTGCCATCGAGCCAACCAACACCTCGCCACCCTGTAGGACAGGGTAGAGTCACCCCTCTCCGTGTCCTTACAGGAGCAGATGCCTGGAGCAGCTGGTGGGCCAGAACTGGGGGCGTTTCAGGCAAACCACTGTGCCTCCAAGGCCCTGGTCAGACCTTCATGGGTAAAGCCCGAAGCCTCGATTGTGTGTGCTTGGTTAGATTTAGTTTGCATATGAATGCGTTTCCATAACCCCACCTGTACAGAAAGCACAGGCCATCGTGGATAATCTTTATCCAGTCTCAGATTTCTCTTCTGGGGAAAGGTTCCCAAAGGCCTCTTCCTTCTACGCCCTGTTCCCATCTGCTCACTTCCCTTCCCTGACAAAGCTCAGCTCTGCCGAGGCCAGCAGGCCAGAAGGTGAGGTAACCGGAGACTGGTTTCCTATCTACCTAGTAAACCTGTCAGGACTCTGAGGAGAGACTCCTGTTTCCTCCTTGGCATAAGGATGTCAGCCCAGGATGCTAAGGAGCATGGCCAGCGTGTAACTCCAAAGCCTGTATTTTTCCTCTCAAACAGTGGAGCTGGGTTCACAGGGGCACGCCTGCTGTGGGCATTGGAGTGGGGCAGAGCAGGCTCAGGGGGAGAAAATTAACCCCCCTGGGTCCGTTTCATCTTCGAAACTAAGGTGGTGAATCCTGTTCTTGAGTGTCCTTGTGGGTCGGGGTTGACACACCCACAAAGGACTGCTTCATCGCATCCCCAGACCCAAACCAAACCTGCTGCCACCGAGTTGATTCCACTCAGTGATGATGACCCTGTATAGGCTTTCTGAGACCCTAACTCTTGATGGGCGTGGACACCTTCGTCTTTCTTCTTTGGAACAGCTGGTCCACAGACAGCTGTGAAAACATTGGTCTGGTATCAGAGCAGGCCCAGAAACAAGGATGGCTTCAATCTTAACTGGGAACCCCTCCTTCCAGACACCCAATGGGTCCAACCCAGGTGGAGCTGGATGGTATCCACCTATGTCTAGGTGGATGTTCTGCTGGCATGTCTGAGGCCAAGGTCATGATTCCGGGTCACTGAAAAGAAATGCTGAACTAGGAATCCCTTGTGTGTTTGGGGGAGAATACACGGATTTAAGTCTTGTGCCATATTGTTTCACAACTAGGGAACAGAAACTCACTCAGGTTAGCTCCTGTCAGAAGAGCTGGTTGATGGATATGGGGACACCTTGTGGGACAGGGCAGGAAGTAGGTAGAGCTCGATTCTTTGGAAACAGAAAAACTTCAGTGAGGGAGGGTGCTCACTTCACCTTGATGGTGTCTTTGCTTCAGCATGGTGCCACATTTGCATAGTTAAGGCTCTTGAACATGAAGACCTGATTCACTGCGGGATACTCACTAGGTCTTGTGGCCATTATGGGCCTGCTGGCAGCATCACTCAGAGTCATAGTAGCCACCCAGGCCTTGCCTGTTAGCAGAGACCCCCGAGGCTGCAGGCCGGAGGAGGCAGGAAAGCCTGTCTACCATTCATGCTCTCAGTTACATTACACAAAAGATAGGAAGGTATAGAAATTAGTTGTATGAATTTGTGTTTTCAGCTGAAACTTCTAGTATTACTCGATGACAGACTGTCCGGCTTGCATGCTCATTTTGTTTTATGAGAAAATAACTCTCTGGAAAGCTGATCCTACTAACCCAACCTTGCCATTTTGCTGTTGTCACTTTCAAATCAATATTAAATATTAATCTTCTTTTCTTCCAGAGATATGAGGACTATGGAATGACTCCCCCGTCAGGTCCATTGCCAAGGTAAAGCTTTGCTGTGGAAATGTGCTTTTTCCTTCCCCGGGCTGCTCTTGTTTTAGCTGTGGACTAACTTCTTAGTCCAAATTGGGTACCATTTCTGAGGTGTATGTTCGTTCTCTTGATCTAACCAGTGTTTCCCAAAGTGGGTGACACTGCCCCCTGGAGGATGCTGGAACAATGAGGGGGGAGTAGCTGCAAAAGCAGATGCCTACACTTTATCCTGGACTGTAGTGCAAAAATCATTTCAGGAGGGTGCTAAATAGCTGCTTTCTTTTTCCCCCCTGAAAAGGGGATGTTAGGCCAAGAAAACGTGGGAACCAATGAGCTAACTAAGGAATTGAGAAAAAAAGTGGGGAGAGCGAGCAAGTGAGTGAGTGCTAACAGGGCAGTGAAGCATTGGGGGCCAAGATCCAGGAATCTGGGGCCTTGGAGAGTAACAACAGAGATGTCCACAGAAACCAAGAGAAGCAGAAGACAATCAGTATTTCCACAGAGCAGACAGCCAAGGGTTAACAAAGCCAGCTCTCGTCTCCTTTGCTTGGTTCACTGTACAATAAATTAGCCAGAAGACTGTCAGCTATGTCACCAGTCGTTTTCCTAATGACAGCCAGGATCCCTCACTGGCAGTGCCCGCCCTGCTGAGGGCTCTGCACCTGATAAAAGCTATTATCTGGGCTTTCTTGAGCACAGTGAGCCCTTTGATTGAACGTGTTGCTCCCAGAAACCCTGGAAACTACGTCTGTGGAGTTGTTACCAAATACATTATCCACCACCACCCCAAGAAAAATGATTTTCCCCCCATAATGTTTCAGCCTTAGCCCAAGAGTACCCAATGAAATCTTCTTAAAACCTAACCGTAGTTTGTTTTAACTAGTAAAGAATGTCAGCCCTGAGCCATGTGCTTTCCTAAGCTCTATCTTTATGGGCTATCAAAGCAACAACGGCAATCAGAACATTAGATTAAAACAGCAGTTAGAACACCAGGAGCCTGGGGAGCAGTGAGTGTTTGGTTCTGGAGAAAGAACAGCTCAGAAAAGAAGGCTGGGCATGGTCGCACGACTCAAAGGCTGCCGCTGCTCACACTGATTTGTACCTGCAGAAACTGTGGAATTGGTGTGTGTTGGCTTGGCCATGTGTTTTCAAACCATTACCACCACCAAGTAAATTGTAAAAGACAACAAAAAAGAGAGAGCAGGTCTCGTGTGGGACAGAGACATGAGCTGTGCCCAGCCTGGTGTGGGTTGTGCCCTCACACCTCACTGCTTCCTGTGCCAACACTGTGGCAGTGTCTGATGCAGTTTCTGGTCTAAGTCCTCCTCCAGAGGCAGATGCCTGGGGGTAGTTGAGCCTACAGAGCTTTCCTGGTGGGCATGGTGAGGCTGAGTGAAAATAACTGCCAATCTAGAATTCCCCACCCAGCGAGTTCAGTGGGAAGGTCTTTAAAGAAGGAGGTTGAAGTAGAGATAGCTCCACAAAGGGTCAATTGCAACCACACTCAAAAGTGACGAAGGGTTGCTCTTCAGACTGTAGGCAAGTGATCCCAGAGAGAAGCGTGGAGACGCATGAGAGCATGAAGAGCAGCAGTATAACGAACTAATCTCCTCGTGTAATTATCAAACACATACACGTACGTCCTCAGGAGCCGGTCATTGGAGCCGAGCTGTACTGCTGCCCGTGGGTGGCTGTGAAGATACAGCAGAGTACTATTTTATGCTCGACCATAATAAGTTAAGGATCTGGCATCATTTGTAGGATAAACCCAACACGACTATTTAAATCTCAATTGGGAGAAATAATGAAAACATAACCGGTCTACACAGGACCCATACCTCACACCATATAAAAAAAAAACAACTCAAAATGAAGCAAAGACCTAAATGTAAAACCTAAAATAGAAAAGTCACGGAGAAGGAACTAGGGACAATGCTAGAGACCTTAAGGCATGGCACAGATAGAAGAGCAAACAGAACTACAAATGCAGACAGCAGCAGGCGAGGGGGCCTCCTGAAAGTGAAATAATAGGCTCACCAAAAAGACTTCTCCAACGAGTGAGGGAGAGGACTTCTTGTGGACTGGGGGAAAGTGACCGTGACTCATCCAACATGAGTCTAATCTCTGAAAAATTACAGCAAAACTCAACAGCCAAGCGACTGTCCACTTTAAAAAGGGGCCAAGAAAAAGAAGTGGGCCAAGGAACTGAACAGACATCTCCCCAAGGAAGCTATGTAGGCCACTCAGGACAAATGAAGGAATGCTGATCCTTCATCATCAGAAGATGCAAGTCGAAGTTACAAAGAGATAGCACCCAGCTAATAATGGCAAACAAGCTAACTAAACCGGAAAATAACAAATGTTGGCAAGGTTATTGGGGAAATTGGACCTTGCGTACACTGCTGGTGGGAATAGCATGGCCCAGCAATCTGCTCATAGGCATATACCCTCGAGAAATAAGAGCCGTCACACATGTAGACGTATGCATGCCCGTGTTCATGGCCACATTACTTGCAGTAGCAAAAAGGCAGCGGCAACAACCTAAGTTCCCCTCAGTGGATGGAGGATAAACAAATGGCACATGCACAGCGGGGAACACTGTTGTTGTTAAATGCCATCAAGTCAGATCCGACCCATAACGACCCTGTGCACAACAGACTCAGGGATTCGCAAATCCTAGATAGCAGGGATTCCCAAATCCTAGATAGCAGTTCTACTCTGCCCTGGGGTTGGAATCCACTGCTAGCAGCTGGCTAGGGTAGCTACAATGTAGTTACAATGTAGCTGTAATGCAGTGAATTACCTTCGATAGATCTCCTAGCCACAGTCTCTGGGCTGGGCTGTGCAGATTGGGTGTATTTCCGCTTCTTTTGATGGGTCTGGGTAAGAAAAGGCAGGGGAGGATGCTGATAGGATGATAGGATTCAGTTGTGAATGACTGTTAACAGTTTCGTGTTTGTAAAAATTTGGCGCTCTAATGTGTGGGTCGGCCAAGTTCACCATACTGCTGGGTATATAATGAGCTATCTCTGCAGAATGGGAGATGCTCACGACCATCAAGAATGACAAGCCAGGAATGGAGTCTGGAGTGGGGCAGAAGGGGGGACTTGGTGCAGTGAGTGCTGTAGCTCTTAGCCGTTTTAGTAGATCTAGAGTGATAGCTCATTGCCACCCTGCTGGCAGCAGAAGGCAGAATCCCATTACCATCGAGAAAGAAGAGGCAGGAGTGGAATGTGTCCTTTGGATGCCGAGATCCCTGCTTTGACCCTCCTTGATCCAGGGACAGAAACAGGTGACTCCAGATAAGCGGCAGAGGAGTGGCAGCAGCAGAACCGAGAGCCAGAGCCAGGAGGCCCTTGAAGTAAAACTGAGTCCCCCAAACCAGGAAGCTTACCGTATATACCTGAGTGTAAGCCGAACTGAATATCAGCCGAGGCACCTAATTATACCACAAAACCTGCATTAAAAATATGCTGGAAAACTTGGCTTATACACGAGTGTATGCGGTATTTTTGTAGTGGGCTGCCTCTAGCACTTAATGAGGGAAGTTAGGTTTGCTGTGACTCCTGTAGCTAGAGCTGAGAGCCTTTGGAGTGATGCTTATGGTGGAGTGGAGGACCCTTTGAGCAATTTCCAGCAGTGCTAAAGAGCTTCATAACATTGATGGAAAGGCCAGACTGATGCTATCCTGATCAAAGAACTGTGTCCTGAGTACTTCTGATCCTGAACTGTAACCTGTTAGCTTCCCTAATTTGAGTGTGAGCTGGAAGGTCTGTGGCCATGGCAATGAATTATTGATCCCAACTGAGAAGTCCAATGCAGTGGGAGGGACAGCTGGTGTCACGAATGGTAAGGCTGGAGGGTGTAGGCGTGTCTGACCCCTGCCTCATAGGAACCGGCCATTGGTGGATGTGAAGTTTGATTCTCCTTCCCCCTTGTGAAGTTCGGCGGTCAGGTGGTATCTCCACCCGCCCTCCTTATCCCCCCCCCCCTTTTTTTTTTTTTTGCAATGGACAGCCTCACAACAATAGTACTTAACATGCAGTAATTCACATATGGATGAAGGCATGCTAAAGAGATGTGAGAGGGTATAAGGGAGCCACCTACATGCAGATAGAGGGTTGGTTAAGGATCGGTGTACATCCATAATTGCAGGTTGTGTGCACTCATTACCACAGACAATAGGGCACACCTGGAGCAGAGTGGGCACCTGTGTCAATTGGCACAACAGAGTGTTCCATATTCTAGTCTGGGGGGTAGCATCTGGGTCTCCAAAGTGTGTGTCTGGCCATCTAAGATACAGGGAGGCTTCAAAAGGTTAGTGGAGCAATTGAATGAAAAGGTAATGCAATTTTTCCATAAACATTTTGAAGCCCCCTCGGATACTAATTGGTCTCCTCCTGTTGGAAAAAAGGTGAAGGAAAACAAAGACTCAAGAGAGTCCCAGGGAGTACCTGATCCTGGGACTAATGGACCACATGACCACACACAGCCTCCATTACCCAAGGCTAGAAGAACCAGAGGGTGCCTGGCTACCACTACCTTCCACTGTGACTGGGCTCCACTGGCCCTGGGTAGTGTGGGAGGAAAATGTCAAGCCGAAAAGTAAATAAAATTCGCTAAAACAACCAGAACTACTTTTCTGACAAGAGACTGAAGGAACCCCCAAGACTGTGGCCCGAAGACGCCATTCTGACCGGAACTGAAGCCATTCCAGGGGACCACATTTGAGCCAAACAGGAGGAGAGGCCATAAGATAACACCCTGGAGAAATGTATTCCTTAGAACAGCTTATTGCATGAGATCACGAGGACACATTTCCCTAAAAAGCAAAGATGAGAAAGCTGGAAGGGAGGGACAGAAAATACAGACCAACAGAAGTGGGGTGCCCAGAGCAGAAGTGAGGAGAGTACTGACACTCTGGGGGAAGGCAGTCCCCGTCATGGACCCTGTTTGTACAAACTGTCGGATGGGAAACTAATTTATTCTTCTAACTGCCACCAAATACACATTACAAAAAAAAAAAAGAAAGAAATTGAGGAACTGAAGAAAACTTCCTTAGTGTGTAGCCCTGGCTCTCAAGAACAGAGGCCACATCACAGATGAGTGCCCCAACATTTGGGCTGGACCCCAGGGGTCTCTGGGACATGACAAACCTCAGTGGTAAAGAAACATCAACGTCTTTCTCTACTGATTCCTGAGACTTGGGGGACAGACCCTGAGAAGGCCTGCAAAGGGTTCTGATAAAGCGGTGGAGGACCTTACTGAACCAAGGGAGAAAACACTGAATACCTTCACAGTGACCCCCATGGAAACCCACTAAGGGGGACAAAAGCAGTGCCACTCATCATTGTTTAGACTTCTCTCCACGTTGGCATATTCCTCCCTGCATCACTGTGAGAAGCACCCAGGCCTCACTGTTGTGCACAGACCTCTGCCCAGGGCGCTTGTGGTGTTTGGCTGCCCATCGAGGGATTTTTGGCATCCCTCTACGTACATATATCCCCTCAGAATGCTTTGTCTGATTAAATAAAAATAATCCATCCAGATGAAGGCAGGGAATGAGAAAAGGAATTGGGAGGACAGGCACATGCATATAAGATGGGTGAGATTGAAGTCCCATGCTGAAGTACTCATATTAGATGTAAGTCATGAAAGATTCCAACTGATAGACAAAGGTGATCAAGTTGAATTTTTTTTTAAAGCTGTATTTAATTTACAAAGAGACATCAAAATATAGACACAAGAGAGAGAAAATGACATGATAGACCAGTGTTTCCTAAAGTCCAAGATAGCTCTCCCTGCTGGAGGGAGGCACTGGAGCGATCCAAGGGAGACCTATAAGAGCAGATGCCTACACTTTATGCTGGATGATGGGATACAGTACAAATGCTTTTCATCATGGGGTGTGTGGGGGGCAGGTGGGGTGAGGGTGGTGGTGTAGAGTCTGGTTTTCCTGAAAAGGGGGTGGCGGTTGGTCAAATCAGTTTGGTGCTATCGCAAACCCAGCTATGTTCTCGTCAAACTGATCGAATCATTCAGTTACTGGGTCACTTTCTCGGACATAGAGCCGTGATAGGCTCTAGTCTTTGTCTTTTAAAAAAATTTTATTCATTTAAAAGGGCTTCTCTTAACAGCAGAGTACCCAGATCCCCGAAGGCTCCCTGAGACCCTTTTCGGGGTCTGGTGGTCAGAAGGAGCCCTGGTGGGCGTAGTGAGTTACATGTTGGGCTGTCATCGACGGGGTGGCAGTGAGATTGAGGGAGGGAGGGAGTGCTGTCAGAACGATTCTGATAATACCACTAAGATGCTCTGTTGCTGTCTAGTCGATTTTGACTCGTCGTGACCCCGTGAGGGTGGAGTAGAACCGGTCCATGGGGTTTCCAAGGCATCCAGCAGGTTTGAACCACTGACCTTTCAGCTGGCAGCCACATACTTAAGCATTGTGCCATTAGGGTGATCTAGAGAAAGACATATTGCAAAGTAGTCAAGTAGACAGTACGAGACACAGAGGAAGACCCTCAGAAGATGGGCCGGCCGCTGGGGGCTGAAGCATACTTTCTCCTGTGAGAAGGAGGTGGACTATTGACACGGAGCTTCAAGGGTGGGCTCAAACATGCCAGCATCGGGGATCACGCAGGGGCAGGCGGTCAGTGTTTCCTCCTGCCATCCATCAGGTTGCTGTGAGCCGAAACCAATCCAATGGCGATCGCAGAGACATCACCCATGCCTCTGCTCAGTCTGTAAATGAAAGCAGCTCTTTCTCTTTACTGGAACCACATATCCTGCCATCCCACAGAGCTCTGGGCAGTGTTGCTCCTTGACTGCTAGGATCTCATGTTGACCAGACGTAATCCATGCATCCTGAAGAAGAGGGAAATTGAGGCAGGGCAGCCCCACGTTAGTTCCCCTCTCGTTAGCGCCCCTCTGTGGGTTGCTGAGAACCTGTTGAACCCCAAGGTAGGTCCAGGGTTGTGCTGACATGGGTATGCTCTGTCCGCAGGCCAAGCTTTGGCCCTGGTTTGCTGCCCTCCTCGGATCTGGGGCCCCCGGAGTCCTCACAGCCCCAGGCTGAGGCGCCCTTCACCGCTCGAGGGATCTACTCAGAGGAGGCAGCCTCGGTGGCCCGGCCCCGGCCAGTCGGGGGCACTGCAGGTATGTGGACTGGGGCATGGTGGTCTTGTCTACAGTCTGAGGGAGGAGGGTGCAGGCACCCCAGTGACTGTGGAGGTTAGGATGGAGATATGAGGTCGGTAATGGCTGAGGCCCCCAAGGCAACTTCATGGCACAGTGACAGGTGTGAGCCTTGAAGGTCTCTTGGATTCAGTGTAAAGCCACTGTCTGGAAAAAGGAGTCACATGCGTTGTTGTGATATCCTGGCCTAACAAAGTCATAGTGGCACGACTCTGTAGACTCCTGGAAGGAGCCCTGGTGGCAGAGTGGTTACTCATTGGACTGCTAACTGCAAGGCTGGCAGTTCAAAGCCAGCAGCCAGCCCTAGGGAGACCAGAGAAGTTCCAGTTTCTCACAAACCCACAGGGGCCCGTTTACCCTGCCCTACAGGGCCGGGGTGAGTTGGCGTGGATGCAGTGGTAGTGAGTTTGGTTTGGTTCTCTCCTGAGTATGGACCAGTGAACTATCAGGAGAATGACTAAAATGGGATGGGCAAACTCGAAGTGAGCCCATGCTGGTGGGAAAATGGTGGGGGGGTGGGGGTGGGGGGGCTCAGCTCAGCACAAGAAACCCCTAGGTGTTGAGAGCGAGAGAGAGAGAAAAGTGCCACACCTATGGAGTGCTGCGACTTCAAGGTCTGTAGCACAGGTGTGCCTCTGCCTGCTCCCAGGCCCTTTGAGGGCTGTGTCTTGAGGAGGCACCCTTTTGGTCTCGGGCAGCCGTGTCCAAGTGCCGCTCACTGGGTGGCGGAGGAGCGGAGCAGCATGGAGACCAGAAGGGTCCAATCTGGAGCCAGCCACAGCTCGCCCCCCACAGCGCCAGGGGCAGAGCCAGCCATGGGGCTGATGGCCAGTCGCCCATGGTTTCGCGTCCACCGCCACCTTCACGCAGCCTTTTCCCCTGAGCACATCTTCTTATGAGACACTGGTCCTTGGATTTTGGGGCCACCCTCCTCCAGAAGGCGCTCTCCTCAGCCGACCGCATCTGCAGTGACACTGTTCCTTAGTATGTCACTTCTAAGGTGACATGTGAATGTGAACTTAGGGGGAGGGCAGGGTGACCCACTATTCAACCCATAAAAAAGCCAAGCTCCCTAGATTCCAACTCACAGCGAACCTAGAGGACAGGGCAGAACTGCCCATGGGGGTTTCCGAGACTCATTCTTCACGGGAGTGGAAAGCCACATCTTTCTCCCGTGGATCAGTTAGTGGTGTGGAACCACTGACTGACCTTGCGTAGCCACGACACCACCAGGGCTCCTTATCAGCCCACCAGAGGCCTCCAGACGAGTGTCTGTAAAGGTCCTCTGCCGGCTTCCAATAGCGGCTCTTGCAGGGGCTGACCCAGGCGAGAGGGGAATGGGGGTTTGTGTTGTCACTTCAGGTGGGTGCCACTGTTGTGTTTTACCCAGCCTCCCCTTTGAACCTCAAGGACACGCCCCCTACTGTACCCCTCAGGGTCAAGTCTCCCACTTGTCTGCCCTTGCCCCTTCCTCATGCTCCTGAGTCGATTGTTCCTTCTGAGCAGGGTTGTGGTGGAGGTCTTGGGCAAGCACAGGGAACCTTCTTAACTGCCAAGAACCATGTCAATTGTACAACCTCATTCTTGGACCATGCTGGTCCAACATTTAATGAACTCACTCCCAAGGTGATCGCTGGAGCCCTGGTGGCGAAGCTACCAGCCGCTCCTCCGGAGAAAATGGGCTTTCCACTTCCGTAAACGGAAACTCACACCGGGAAGTCCCGCTCTGTCCTGCAGGGTCGCGGTGAGTGGGCTTCTACTCGAGGGGAGTGAATATGACATAGTAATTTGTCAGCTGGAACGACTCTCTTTGGTGAAGGTTGTTATGTTAACTGATATTGATGATTCCATAGGCCTTATGTGGCCCTCAGGCCATGCCCCGCCTGTTTCCCCCGCCCCCGGCATTATTACCATAAGACCATTTTTACTGCTGGGTAACCAGTGTAACTCTTGACTGGAGAATGTAATGGTGAGACCCCAGGATGGATTAGCTGCCAGTGCTGTTACGCAGGAACGCTGGTAGGCTAAGCTTCAGGCTGCTGGCTGAAAGGTCAGTGGTTGGAATCCCCAAGACGCTTCACGGGAGAAAGATGAAGCAGCCTCAGAAACCCATGGGGACAGTCCCACTCTGTCCTAGAGGGCCGCTGTAGGTCGGAGGGGAGTCGACGGCGATGGGTTCAGAGTCCGCTGGTTCTTGTGGGTGTAAATCATTACACTTCTGGAAAGCAGGGTGGCTGCCTGGTTTATGAGCCTTTGATTTTGTGAGACACATCTCGGAACCTCGTCTCCTCCCCGTCCAGAGAAACCCAGAATAATGGTGGAAAATCAAGCATTAAGGACATTTATTGAAGCAGTAGTCACACACACACACACACACACACACACACACACACACACACACAAACCCCTGTGTGCAGTATCTCAAGCATGGGTGAGTGATGATTTTATGTGACCCACAAATGATGTTACACGTTTCCAAATGGCTCTTGGTAAGTAAAAAGGTTCCCCATCCCCAGTGTAGATGTTGGGAGCGCCAGTCCCCACATAAGGAGCTCAGTGACCCTGCTAGCATTCTCAGGAGCCCAAATGGTATAGTGAGGGAGCCCTGGTGGCACAGTGATTACGAGTTGGGCTTTGAACTGAAAGGTTGTTGGTTCAAAATTACCTGGAGGTCCATGGGAGAAAGAGCTTTCTACTCCTTCACAGAAGGGCAATCTCGGAAACCTACAGGGCCAGTTCTGTTCTGTCCTGTAGGGTCGCTAAGAGTCCCATCAACTTGATGGTAGTGAGTGAGTGCTGTAGTAAGGAGCTGGGCTGCTAACTACAGTGTCAGTAGTTCAAAACCACTAGCAGCTCCTCGGGAGAACGATGAGACTGTCTGCTTCTATAAAGACTTCCAGGCTCAAACACGCACAGGGACAGTTCTTCCCTGCCCTGCAGGGTTGCTATGAGTCAGATCCACTCTAGCATGAGTTGAGTAAAAAGCTTGGCTGCTAATCAAAAGGTTGTCAGTTCCAAGCCCCAGAGATGGACCTGGTGATCCGCTCCCCATAGGTCAGGACTCAGACCCACGTCGGAATTGATTGGCCAACAGATCAGTTAGAATGGGGGCCATGCTTGAAGGGTGCCCGTGGCACTTAGGGTCAGACTGAAGTGGCCACCCGAGTGGTGTGGCTGACCACGCGGCTCTGCATTGTCCCCCTCCAGGCTCCCAGATCCAGCAGCTCACGCAGGTGGGGCTCGCCAGCAGGATTGGTGCCCCACCTGGGGAGGTCCCGCCAGGCCGGAGTGGCCAGTATGGAGGGCCAGGCTGGACGGCATATGGAGAGGATGAGACAGGGCGGAGAGAGGCCGTGAGTATAGTCCCTCTTCAAACCCTCCACGAGGAAAAGAGCGTGCTTTGTCCCTGTTTCCCATCCCCTGGGCTGGTAACAGATCCCTTCCAGTCCCATCTGGCGTGGGAGGGGCCTGATGCTGCATCCTGGCAGGTCTGGCCTTTCTGAGGGCTCTGAGTCAGGACCGCTCACCTCATCCAGCTCCCACATGCCCTCTTTCCCAGCCTCCCTTCCTCCCAGCTCAGAGCCCTTTCCTGTTCTCCCACAGGACTGGGAGCCCCAGCCCCAACCCCCCTCCCCATAGCAGACAGGGGTTTGCCAGTTGTACCAAGACTGGAAATCACCCCCCCTACACAGCTGCTCACTCTTTCATCCATGTCTTTACCCAACTGCAAGCAGGCTTCAGAAAGTTCCAGGGGAAATCCCATTATCTTTTAGTTTCACTTTTCCACACATTTTCTGAAGCCCTTCTTGTCTGTGGGCATTGGACAAGGTTGAGTGCTCGATGGCTTGCTCCAAGGTTGGCGGTTCAAACCCATCAGAATCGTATCTGAAACAGCCTGGTGGTTGACTTCGCAGAACCACAGGCTGACAAGTCTGTAGATCACAGTTCTGAGGCGCGCACACACACACAGGCAAGGCCGGCCCAGCCATTGTTGCCCCCCATACCAACCCCTCATAACCCTAGAGGACCGAGGGAATGGCCCATAGGATTGTCCAGACTCTGCACTACAAAGCATACTGCCTCATCTATGCCCCTCAGAGAACCGCTGACCTTTTTGCTTAGCATCCAAGCACTTAACCACTGTGCCACCAGGGTTCCTGCTTGTTTAATGCTCATGAACAAGCCCCACCCCACCCCCAAGAAGCTCACCCATCTCAGGGAGCCCCAGGGAGAGCCGAGCTGTTGAGAGAGGCGGCGGACTCCTTTAGCTGGATGTTCCTGCCTTCTCCTAAGACAGAAGCGCGGTCACGTCCGCCGTGTCTTTCAGACGCACGTGCTTGGACACCAAGAACATTCTTCTCCGCCGCTGTTTCAGGTGCCAAGGACTGCGGGCAGGGAGCCCTCCGCCCCGCCCGGGAACCTGCCCCACCGGGCCCTGCAGGGCTCCGGGCTGCCTTACGCCGCCAGCTCCACCGAGGACCTGCAGCCCGGCCACTCCTCCACGTCCCTCATCAGAGCCATCCGCGAGGAGCTGCTGCGGCTCTCGCAGAAGCAGACAGCCGTGCACAACTTCCACGGCTGAGCGCCCACGCCGCGTATCCGCTTCCCGTGGAAGCACGACTGAGAGGGGAGTCCCTGCGGGGCATTCGCTGGGGAGAGCGCGCATTTCAGGGGACGCCGTGGGCTGTGTGTCAGCTTGCGGCACTTCAGTGACGAGGTCGGCACGTGGGGGGTCATTTGGGCTCCGTGGAAACGAGCGCACGCTTAGCCCACCGCTAGCAGGCCCTTCCCAGACAACGAGTGGCGGTGGAGCTGGCACGGCGACCAAGTGCGTGGTCTCCATGTCCACGGTGTCGGCCGAGGGAGTGGAGCGTCCGCCGGAGGAAGGGACTCAGGCAGTGTGTGTTGATCTGCTGCTCAGTGTTCTGAGAAGAGAATCAAAGACGTTTTATAAACAGCTTGATCTCCCTCGACTCCTCCATAGGAGCTTATTTTAATAGTCACATTCACGACAGGAAGAATCCTAAGACTGTTGGCCTTTTTTAAAAAGCTACTATTGAGAAACCAAAACGATAGGTTGTGCGAGCCTGAGACCCCACATGAAGCCACTGTCCTTCCTCCTCTTTCTTCTGGTGCTACTGCTCTCTGGGCCCCATCCGCCCTACCTTCTGTCCATCATCCCCACATCCTCACAACAGAGCGTTGGCTTTTTCTGTGGGAGGTTCTGGAAAACAGAAACAAAATGCCAGGTGTGGTTGGGTAGTTTTTTGGGGTGGGGGGTAACTGACTATTTATTTGGTTATTCAAAATACAAACTGAAGTTTAGGTTTCTGTTCTTCACTGTATCTTCTGTGTAGGAACTGGGCCTGGACAGATAGCACCTCCTCTCGGCGCATCTCACGTCAAGGCTGGCACTGCAGAGTGTGGCTTTCACAGGGCCTAACGGCGATCCCTATATGTTGCTGAGGAGTTGCTCATGGATGAGGCTGGAGTGAACAGTCTAGGGTGAACAAAATTACAAAGAGCCCCCACACTTGTCACCCTTCTCCAGGTCCCCAGAGATTTGTCCGTGGCCCTGGGCTCAGTTCTGTCGGTGGGGCAGAGGGAGGGTGTGTGTGTCAAGGTCAGCCTTGAATTGAGAGATGTGGAAAAGAGACCACCCATAGCCAGGTCTGTGTAAAGCGCTCAGTTTTAACCCAGAAGAGTAGCCGTGTTAGTTACCAGATTTCCACAGCCAGTCCTGCACTGTATGAATTAAAACCACACTTTGAATTTAGAGATAGCCCCAGGCTGAGATTCATCAGGACGTGTGTCTGTGTCAAGTTGCACAAAACCTTGGCACAGATAAAACTGGGTTTCCCAAGTGGGACCACTGGGTGCCAGAGTCACACCAGAGCCCTTTCTCCATGAAGCCTGCTCTTTGCGGTTATGGTCTCCCAGTCCAGGGAGCGGGTCCCTGGGAGTGAAAACATATCCATTTGTCATCTCTGTGTCCCTAAAAGGCAGGAGTGCTGGCCACTGAAGAATGATACTTTTTCAGGTCCTCCTCAGCGGTCCCCCAAAGAGGGTGGTGGAAAGGCCCATGTGGGCTGGACTTCTGACCTCTTGCCCTTGGTTGAACACCAGAGCTTCCTCAAAGTGGGGGATTCTCTCTGCCTGTTGCAGACACCAGGATCCCTGAACATGCTATCAAGAATTCCAGACACCCAAGTGGCATTGCCTCATGAACGTCTTGTAGTGAATCCAGATCCTGGCACAGCCAGTGGGACCAGTGCAACCCCTTCTCCATCTGGCTCTGCTCAGCACCCCATGCACAGGGAGTGCATGACAGCCTGCTCTGTGAGGCAGGAGCGACCTCTCTTCGACGTCTAAGAGCAATGGCAGCTGATGCCTTCCCAACGAATGAGAAGGCATTTCACTTGTGCCTTTGTTCTTTGAGAACCTGAACAGACATACCTGAGGAGATACTGTTGAGACCAAAGACCCCAGGGATAAAGCCCCGGTAGTGGGTGGTTTGGTGGGAGCAGGTCCACCAGCTCGCCAACAGCACCATCCTGCTGCCCCTCAGACACAGCTGGCTTCCTCTGAACATCTGCTGCAGCTGTTCTACCTGCTCCAACTTGGGCCCAGCCAGCATGGTGAACAGCACCAGACCAAAGTGGGCTCCAGAAACTAGCGATGTGGCATGCTGAAAAAAAGGACTGGGTGTTGATCTTGGGTGGCCCCGGAGCCCACATTGTCTGTAACGCATTCTCCCACCTTACAAGTTCTTGTGGTAACACGAATGAGCAAAGTGTTGGAGTTGATGTTTTGGAGAAGGATGTTCGGCATGTTAGGTTTGAGCTGCATTCTCCAATCAGCTGGCTAAGGACCTACCTGCCTGCCTCACAGTACCACAGGGGTGAGTGTGTGTGGAAGAGACGCTGGAAGAGCAGAAAGCTCGGTGAACCGCATTATCTGTGCTGATGCCCGGGGGCAGATGATCTGATGAGTGGCAATCTACCAGTGAAGAGGAGAGCAACCTACAGGCCACAAACCCCACTGTGACTCCCTCTCCCCTGCCCATATGGCTTTGAAGTCATTTCCGTCCCCATTATTATCTGTAAAGTGTCCTTTTCTCGGCATTGGCCTGCAGCTGATCATCTGCTGTTTCTGAAAGCAAACCAATCAGCAGGCCCAGATCTGGCCTTCGAAGAGCAGAGTGTAGGATCTAAGTAGATAGCACAGCTGGGTATTTAAAAAAAGGTGGCCGAGGAAGGGAAGTAGAGACATAAACATCAGTAGCATTTATCGAACAGACACAAGTGTGCAGGGTTCTTGGTGAGAGAAAGTAATGGAAATTGCACATTGGGAAGTGGTGGGAAGCTGGGGGTAGGTCAACCTCAGAAGCTACTTGGTTGAAGATGGGAGCTGCCTAAGCAGTGGTGGGAACACTGGGTGGAGTAGGTGTTGGGGCAGGGAACAGACCCAGGATGATTAAGGGACTGGGTGATGCTGTCACTAAGTGGACATGCTTCTGATCTGCCAAAATCTGGGTACAGAGTCCCAAACCACACTGCCTGGGATTTCTGGGGTGGGGGTGGGGGGCCCCGGGCAGACACATGGCTGTGAAAGAAGGTTCAGTGAGGAAGAGGTCCAAGCTGAGGAGGGAAGGGACAAGCTGCTCTGACTGATGAAGGACCAAGTGTCGAGTCTGGAAGTCGATGACAAGCATGCCTATGGTCAGTTCAGCTGTGGGCCTTGTCCAGCTCTGTGGACCATAGTGAGTTGTAAGTAAACACATTCTGCATCTCTACAGTCACCTCCACGTTTTTGTTTTTGTTTTTTCTCCAGAGTGTGTCTAATTTCAGTGTGTGTGGGTTTGGGTGGCAGTGGTGAGGTGTGGGTTCTTGCCACCCAGAGCCTTCAGGCCATGAGGCCTGTGATTTAAGCACAGGTACAGCTCAAAGGCTTTGGGCAGAAAAAGCCCAAGCTTTTGTTTCCTGGGTGGGTCCAGGCTGTGTGCTTGCTTAGTGATGTCCTGGGGCGTCCTGAGCCCTGCACCGGGGTTTGCATTTGCAGTCATTTGGAAGTTAATCATTACATCCACTTCTCTTAAAATCGCTTTTGGACCAGTCTTGGGCTCGGCCCAAATGACTTGGCTGGAATGCAAATCGGTGATTGTTCCAGGCAGGGGTCAGGAGGCCTCTGGCCTTCATTACTGCACTGACGTTAGTCCAAGCAGTGATTCCACCATCTCACATCTACCTCCAGAACAGGTCTCCAAAGTCAAGCCCCAGAGCCAGTTGTTAACAGCTGTCCCCTGTGGAGTGGGGACAACAATGCTCTGTACCCAAGTCAGACAGCCCGAAGAAAAGCGCCTTTCCTAGGACAGCCCTTTCATCCCAGATGCTAACGGATAGCCTGGCCTCTGGGGAGGCGTTGCTATGAGACACTGGTGTCAGGAATTCGTGAAACTCAATAGGAGGTGGGCACATTTCAGACTAATGCTAACATTCCTGGGGGTGATTTTTGATGTTTAAACTGTTCCTCATCCCTGTATTTAAAGACTTGAAACCCTAAACTTCACGGTACGAATCCCAATCCCACGCTTCTGTCTGTGTGTGTGTGTAAGTAACAGGACACTTGACAACAGCCTGCAGCCCTGGTTTATAGAGCAGGGTAGTATGTGCTTCTGGAAATGTGAAACCGAGGTACGCACCCGTGAGAAAGGTTGTGGCACAAATGTCTTCATCTGATGAGGTGTTTGTTTCCCGCGGGGTGTGTAAGTTTGCAGGGTTCTCGTGTTCTCTGCGGGGGCTCATCACTGAGGGGCAAAGAGAAGCGTCAAGTGATTCTGGAGTTGCAGGGCCCCTCCTTACAGGGACCCTTCGTGGGTGGCTGGGGAGCAGACCAAATCGCCTTCCCTCATGCCCGCCACATCTCAAATTCCCAAAGTGTACAAGCTCGGAACAGCACAGGGACAGTCCCCCTCCTGTGGTTCTGAGAAAAGAGGGCAAGGTGCTTGGGTTGCCCACCCTCCACTTGCTCATTCGCTCCCTGCATCAGAGAACTTGTTTCACGAAAGGAAATAGATGCTCTCTCAACCATTGCTCTCTGCTCACCATCTGGGGGCCGTGGACTGGTCAGGGGTGACTCCCGCAGGGGAGGCTGCTCTGCAGACCCTGCCCTTGGACGCGACCCTAGTCTTTCTGGGGTCCAGGTCCCTGGGCTTCTGACTCCTCCTCAGCTCTCATCCTTGGTTGATGAGTGTGACTGCAGGAAATGGTGCGCAGAGTGGCATCCGTCCTGCAACTTGAACTTGACAATCATGGTTGGCTGGTCTCAGACACGCACTTAGGTTCAGTTTGGGGCATATGACTTAGCAGTCAGTCCTCCCTCCTACCTGTGGGTTACGTCTCTCCCCTTTGGTTAGCTGCACTCCCTTTCCTAATGTGCTGTAGAGTTTTGGAGATAATTGAGGCGAGTGCTTGATTTCCATGTTTACAGTTTATACCGCTTTCCTAGCCTTTTCAAAGGAAATGTCAATAAATGCTATGAGTTGGTGTCAAACCAAGACGTCCTCCTCATTTCTTTCATGACGTGGGGCGCTTTCTTATCCTAAGATGTGAACCTGGAAGGCACTGCGCCTCCCTCCCATTGTGGGGCGGGGACACTGCCTGTGCATCCTCCAGGAAATGAGTGCACGTGTCTGGTTCAGCGTGTGGGATGGTGTGGGTGGTCCTCCCCCACTACTTAGTGGTTCTCAACCTGCCTGATGCGGCGACCCTTTAAGACAGTTCCTCATGTGGTGGTGCCCCCCCCCCCCCCGAACCATAACGTTATTTTTGTTGCTACTTCAGCACTGTCATTTTGCTACTATTATGAATCAGGTGAGCCCTGTGGAAGGGTCATTCAACCCCCAAAGGAGTCGCGATCCGCTGGGAGAACCGCTGACTTGGAGGGATGCAAGCACCAGGTGCAGAAGCATCCTGGGATAAGCAATAAGGGCTTTGTATCCAGGATGCTGCCACGAGAAGATCGTGGGTCATGCCATCTGGAGTGCCAGTCCTGGTGGCACAGGTGGACAGTTGGAACCCACTCGCCACTTCAAGAGAGAAAGATGAGCCTGGTTTCCTTCCTTAATGATTGGCAGCCCCAGAAACTCTGCCATACTCTGTCCTGCAGGGTCACTGGGAGTCGAAGCAACTGGACAGCACTGGCTTTGGTTCGCCTTGAGATAGGTTTATTGGCAGGTAACTCACATCAGACAATGCAGTAGTTCAGTCACACCGAGCAGAGATGTGCCGTCATCACCACAATCCTCTTTTAGGACATTGCCTGCC